TTAATTATAAAGGAAAATAGCACAAAATTAGGAGGATTCCTCTTATTGATATTCCCCCAGTTCATCATATGTTACATCAGTCAGTATCCTGGCAAGACAGAGATGGCACACTGATATTGTAAAATTTGAGATTATTCAATAAAGGAGTTATTTAGGGAAGTAGTGTGCAGAAAGAAACCACAACAGATAGTAAAAGCAGGGGCTGTTATCACCCTTGGACCAAAGTATGTGAGAAGAGGGAAGATTTGTCTTAACCTGGAATCAAAGAGAGCCGCCTGATGCAAGGTCAGGGAACAGCTAGCCCATGGTGATCTCATAGCCTCTTCCATCCGTGTTACTTCTTGCCGGTTCTACATATCAGCCAAACCCAAGGAAAAGCTAGAGGACAAAGAAGCATGTGGATATGTCCTTTATAGTTCAGCCTCCTGGATCCTGAGCAGAGAGAGAAGATGCAGAAAGTTCCAGGAGAGGCCCATGGAAGCTGCCAGTGATGGATGTGACTGTGAAAAAGATAGGAAAGTGGGTAGTCTACCTACTTCCTAACTTTATACTCCTATACTAGTCAACATGTCTTATGAAGTTGATTGACACTTGGAAGATTTAGAATGGGTCATGCTCCTCAGATTTGTGGACCAACCTTTATCATCAATATTTTTATTACTAGCCTTTAAATATATTAGCTCTGATCCCAGCATCCTCGGGTGCTTCTCAATGATAGTATGAAGATCATCCCTCTGCATATGACAGCTTCTTACCAAAGTGTTCCTCAGCTTATTCAACATTAAAATAATGGTGATTGTCTGTTTTCCAGAGATATTGAAGAATTGGATGAATATAGTCAATTGTGTAATGCACATAATAAGTTATTATTCTTTTCCCATTAAATTGTTTTTGTAGTTTTATAAAAATTATTTAAACTGCCAAGATAATTCAGTAAGAGTAGTAGTTGGTTTTAGTTTAAGGATAGAGTAAATACCCATCCTGCCTGTCCTAGGTACAGGCATGCCTTGAAAGGCTGATAGCCTTTATTCTCAGGGAGCAAGAGTGTGGTCACTCTGCTCTCAGAAGCACTGAGCTGCATACATGAGTTTTCTTCATAATAGTAAACGGATACACATCCCTAGACACATGTACTTTACTTTTGTGTATGTTTTGTATGCAGCAACAATAATTTATAAAGGGAATTTTGCTTTAGGAAAGTAACTCTAGTGAACCCTTCATGAATTGCTTCTGTTTAATGTATCTCTAATACCTAGTGAAGGAGGTAAAAATCACAGAATGTTCTGTGTTACTTGGCTTATTTTGGTAAGAAAGAGTGTCAAACTCTAGGATGACAGATCGAAATAAATGTTTTTGTAGACATTAAACCATAATGTTTGAATATGGTGAAAGTAGGTATTATCCAGGGAAATTACAAAATCTGAGTTTCCTATAAATTTTATATGTAGATTACTTGGAGTATTTTTGAAATTTTTCTTTGTCATATCTGTAGTAATAATGAAGGAGAAAAAGAAAGTAATGGTTTGATGACTTTTCCTATATTCAGTACAATGTACTTTGCTGTGTGGGTTTCAGTAAATACTACTTGCTATTCATAATTTATTTGCCACATATTTTTAAAAGGAAATTGATAAATATCCATTAACTTTAATATTATACTATTTTAAATGCCATAGAAACTAAGAATTTAGTTTTAAATTTCGTAAAACACTTAATTTTTAACTCTTAATTTAAACTTTCTCAAGAAGGGAAAAGGAAGACTTTTTGTACATTGAAACCATTTATTTTGTTACATATTGTTTCAATTCTATTTGGGCCAAAGCTGAGAGGATTTATAGCCCTTACAGGTTAGAGCTCTTCACTGTATAGTCAATTTGAAAATAAGCTATCACTCACACTGGAAATTGGTTGAGGGAATATGGTTGGATTAGATGAGTATTTTCAAGAGTAGAAGTGTCTGAAATAATGCTTCAACAGTAGATGAGTATTATCTATGAGCTTTGTATACAAATTTCAACATACTATATTATCTAAAACATTAAACTGTCGGGGTGCCTGAGGGGCTCAATTGGTTAAGCATCTAAGACTTCGTTTCAGCTCAGGTTGTGATCTCAGGGTCATGAAAGCAAGCCCAATATCAGCCTCTCTGCTCAGAATGTAGTCTGCCTATGATTCTTTCTCCCTCACTCTGCCCCTCCCATTTGTGTTCTCTCTCTCAAATAAATAAATATTTTTTTTAATTTTTTTTTAAGATTTTATTTATTTATTTGAGAGAGAATGAGTGAGAGAGAGCATGAGCGAGGAGAAGGCCAGAGGGAGAAGCAGACTCCCCAAGGAGCTGGGAGCCCGATGCGGGAATTGATCCTGGAAGTCCGGGATCGTGACCTGAGCCAAAGGCAGTTGCTCAACCAACTGAGCCACCCAGGCAGCCTCAAATAAATCTTAAAAAAAAAAAAATTAAAAACCCCTAAAAACTGTCATCTTATATGGTCTCTCAGCCCCTTGCAATGCAAAACAATGATAACAAGAATGTGTACACACACACACACACACACACACACACACACACACGAATATATAGTGCATGTGTGTACATACATATTCATTTTTTACAAACACCTCTTCATCTTAAAAGAGTTGGAAGATTATTCTATTTCCTAGTTTACTTGGTTTGCAGTATCATTTATCTTGTCAATGTAGATCTTAAAATTATTTAACCTTTTGCAAAAGCTTAAAGATCATCTCTTCTGGGACATTAGGCATTTGTATAGTCTGGTTTTGGCGTGGTTTTTAAGTTTGTCTGCACTACCTCCTTACACACACTCCCCAGTGAAAGGCAAACTGCCTTACTCACTGTTCTAATATCAAACCTATTGATTCCCCATTTATAGATTTTGTTCCCACTCTGCTAAATGGCTTTTTACTAGAAACATGAAAATTTAAAACATCTCAAGACTCTACTCTTTCAGTCCTTACAGACTTTCGTGCACTGAAGGAAACTCTCATTTTTATAATACTGATCTATACCAATGCTTTCGCAATTAAGTCTGGCCTTATGGCATTTCTTTTTGTTATTATTTTGGACTCTTAACTGGTTTCATATTGTCATTTTGCTTTTATTGTTACATATGTTCTGCTCACTCTTTTTGTTTGTTTTCTCGTCACTCTTTCTGAAAAGTGTTTCCCTGCACTCTCCAGTTGGAGTGCTAAGCATAGAGTCTTACGTGGAGGGACAGCTTTGTAATATATACTGGTGGGAACTGAAGTTCTAGCACCACAGGATTACTCAGTGAAAAGCATCGCTTTAATTTTCAGAGCTAGCATTTTTAATCAATGGACAGACACACTCTTAAAAGCATCTTGTGTGTAACTTGAAAATTAATTTTGATAGGTAGCTGTCAAACTGTATGATAACTCAATTCCAGCCCATAAATATACTTTTTTTTTAAAGATTTTATTTATTTATTTGACAGAGATAGACATAGCAAGAGAGGAACACAAACAGGGGGAGTGGGAGAGGGAGAAGCAGGCTCCCCACTGAGCAGGAAGCCCGATGCGGGACTCAATCCCAGGACCCTGGGATCATGACCTGAGCTGAAGGCAGACGCTTAACGTACTGAGCCACCCAGGCACCTCACCAGCCCATAAATATACTTAAAGAAAAGAAAAAAAACATGATAATATTGGCAAAATTTGTGTAAGACCCATTCATGGGTACATTTATTCCTGAGTCTTCTAAAATACCAATTTAGCTTGAGAAATTTCAACTTGTCTTTATCCTAGTAGAAGTAACTTCCCAGGTCAATCCTTCTTTAAAAAATTCTAGCAGCGGGCTTGGATTAAAGCGTTCAAATAAGGTATTGTATGTGACACCATTAGGGAAGTCAGAGAAAAGCAGAACCATTCTTGCTGAACTTGGGTTAAGCACCACAAAACCTTGCCCTCCACTTATCTCTGAGGAACCCTAGGACTCAAAGGATTAAGCATAGAAAATCGGTGTAATCAATATTGTTATAATTTCATGCTTTTGAAATCTATCCAGGATTCCTGATGAGATGATGCCATGGGTCTAGGCTTCGACATTCCCTCTATTCCAAACACAGCAAAGCTAGATGGAAGAGTTATCACAAAGAAAGGCTTAGAGACATGACAGATTTCAGCATGGGGCAAAACTGGAGTACAACCAGAGAGGAGAAATCAGGCATGGTTCCAGGTTCTCAAGCAAATACAAGATCAGAGATGTCTAATGGCAGTCTGGAATGGAGGGTTCTTTGGCGCTAACTTGTAAAAAGAGCCTCAACATTTTACCACTGTACAGGAAATTATAGCCCTGATGAGACAAGAGAATGAGGGGCAGGAAGACAAAAATGCAGTTTCAGGACTAATTGCAGCATCTGGGGGAGGTCGAGTACTTGTCAGGACTAGATTGCCACGGAAGTATCAGTGCCCTTGGTTAGCATCTGTAAAGTCATTTTTCTGAAACAACTCATCCTATGAGCAAGACTTGGGCTTGTCTCTTGAAGTCAGGCCAACAAGAGACTCTGGAATTAGTAAAATGCACCATGCCAGGAAGACACAGAGTCATCTTACATTGAGCTGCTGTGACCTACATTATGTATCTGGTGACCACCCGGGACTTAAAACCATGTGGAAATTGATGAACATTCAAGTAATGGTTGCTATCACTGCAAATGAGCATAATGGCAGGGACATTAGGGGAGCAGCAGAGGAACAGAGAGCTCTCTACTTGGACATAAAAGTTAAGTCTAAAATCAATTCAGACGACATAGTATACACAGATTTTATACATACATGCCTGTATAACAGTACCGAGTGCGCGGCTGGGAAACGATTCTGTCAACAAACTTCTTTTTGAAAAATCAAAAAGAACTATAATATATAATTTAAATATAAGACCAGAAAGATGAGGGATGATATAATAAACTTACTATTTCATTAGAAGAAATTCATTTTTAAAAAATGATGATTATTCCCCCCAGCCAACGGGAGCTGTTCTGATGGTGCGTTGACGTGCACTTCCTCTAACAGCTGTATCCCACTTCACAAGCGCTGTGATGGTTTGGTCGACTGCATGGATTTCCGGCTTGATGAGTCCAGCTGCACAGGTACTCTATTTCCATTAACATATTCTTTACAATATAAGCCAGTAACTTAACCCTTTAGATGATAAAAATAACAAAACTTGAAATTCTGAATAATTTCCAAGTACGGAATAATTGGATTTCTATTATTGGTTTAGGTCAGGAAGAATATTAACATTAACATATAAAAAGCTTATAAATATATAATATAATACATAACATATATAATATATATATAAATATATAGTGAACTCATGCTTATTCTATATAAATGAATGTTCCCCAATGAAGAAAAATCAAACACTAAATTGTAAGTTAATGGAACTTAAAGTTATTAGTATTTGATAATCTCTTTGATGCAAATTGCTTGGTATCTAGAATAAGGAAACAATCTAACATGTTATTAATTTTTTAATTATAATTTTCCCACTTCTCTATTTGCATGATCTAGTCATGTTTAAAAGTCAGTTTATTAAGCTTTAGACTGACTTTTAAAAATTCTTCTCTCCTGACCCTGTAATATTTATCAGAACTGATAATGTATGTTTGTGATTATACTTTTATCAGAACTGCTTTAAAATTCTCTGATTTATTATAGTCCATTGCTAACATCTCTCCTGGGTAGTTGAACTTTTATTTCATGCAGGAGATATATGAAATAATAGATAAGTAGGGGCAATATAAATCTCTCACAATGAAAATACAAAGTCATAATAAAAGGTATATTCAATCATATATTCTAAATAAATTGGAGATGTTTAATATCAAAACTAGGTGAGAATATATTCTTTGTATCTTTCAAGAGCGCAGACTATTATGAGATAAGTGACAAAAGCATGATAATTATAATCAGATCACAGTGCAAGAAAGTCTTATTTTTTATGCTGCTGAAATGAATACTCACAGAGCACTGAATTTTATGAGTACAAAAGGAAATCAAGAAGCGAGCAAATCTGGTCCCATAAAATATGCAAAGAGGAACGGTCTCTGCCATTATTTCTGTACCAGGCATGCTTATACATCAGACTGATACCCAAAGGAAATGCTTTCACTTTCTCTCCAGAGTAAGAAAAATATAAACAAGATAGTTTCAGTCTTTGAAACTATTAAGACAAAGCACTGATATCCAGTACCCAAATTTATTTGCATACAGGTGAGATTTTTGTTCGGGACAGTCCTCAGTGAGAACAAATATACCATAACATATGATGGGTTACTGTCTGACTTTATGTATTTTACTTTTATCATTCGTCCTGACAACGTGGAGGTAGTAACAGAGAGCACATTCTGGTCGCCCCACCTGGTTGCATCATTCAGCAATTCATTCACAGTTCATTTACACGTCGTACTGCCCCAGCTACTGGGTTACAGTAATATAAAGAACTAGGGAAACAGTTTTCAGAAATAAAATGCACATTTTATGTTTTGTTCTCTGTATTTTCTGTGCTTTTTAGTTTGTCAAACAAATACGATGTAGTCAGTGCTTCTGTGTTTAACAATGTGTCTCGGCTTAATCCACACTAAGAGGTGTCAGTGCCCATGACACCTTCCTCTTTCTTTCCAAACATCATATCCCTTTATGGGTAGCATTTCATAGACTTTATGAGCCCGATCCTGACAGCATCCAATAATGTCCCTGGTCGCACAGCAGGTGGTGAGCATCTGGTCTCCCCTCACCTGAGGTTTAAGTCATTAACGGGAACATTGACCTCAGGCCCTATGTAAGTGTTGCAGGTTAAGTATATTTCAACAAGGCCGTGTGCTCCCAAGTTATGTTAGAAAGGCATATTATTTTCAAGTTTTGGTTGTTTATGCAGCAGAAGGTTATTGAACAGAATGTGTCTGGCTTAATTTAAATTGGGAGTTTTTTCCAGTCATCTGTAGTAGTGGAGGTTAATGAAAGTTATGTTAAGGTGATACTATAATTATGATAATCATCCTTTGAAGTAGAATAAGGAAAAGGCATCAAAAATATAAAGTTGTAGGGATGCCTGGGTGGCTCAGTCAGTTAAGCATCTGACTTCAACTCAGGTCATGACCTGGGGGTCCCGGGATCAAGCCCTGCACCAGGCTCCCTGCCCAGTAGGGAATATACTTCTCCCTCTCCCTCTGCCCCTCCCTTCCCCCACCGCTCGTGCTCATTCTCGCTCTCAAATCCTTGAAAAAAAATGAGGTTATAGGATGGGATGTTATGAATACAATTTAATATGTTTAATAATAATAATAATAATGCCTCATAATATTTCAGAAGCTTTTACTTTTATTAAGTTTTTTTAAAAAATTTAATTCCAGTGGTCTCAACATGCAGTGTTATATTAGCGTCAGGTGTACAGTACATTGATTCATCACGGCTATGCCTCACGCCGTGCTCGCTTTGATAAGTGTGCGCTTCATCCCTTTACCTCTTTCACTCCCTCCACCTCCCTTTGCTCTAATTTAAATGAATACCCTCCGTTAGAGTTACTCTTCTTTCCAACAAGAACATTTTTTACTCGAAGCATACACCAAACCAAAGCACTATAGAGTAGAGCTATGCCAGATTTCTAAGCCATAGTTAATCTTCCCTGCAGTCCCTGTGCTGGGATTTCAAGATAAAGAGAACAGTCTGTGCCCACTGGGTATTTGGTTTACTGCACCAATCCATTTGGTTTTCTGGAAGATTCTTAGATCCATATAGCTCCTGAAACTACAGGCAAGTTATTGGCAGGTATATATCTTATCCATGACAGTGCATAAATACTGTACCATTCAAAGAAGTTCATGATCATAATATCAAGAACAGCAAGGGGTTATACAGAAATTCTGACCTGAATAGCAGATCATTTGACATTTTTAAACCAATAGACTTGAGGTGTTAGAGGACTGGAATTTAGTTCAATATCTGTTGCTCCTTTGCTATTAACTTGAGCAAATTATATTATTAACCAGTTTCCTTCTCTGTGAAAAAGGATCTCTATGAATATAGCACATAATGCTATGAGGATTAAATGAGGTAATGCCAGTAAAGCTCTTAAGACAGTCTTGACACAGATCAGGTCTTCAGTAAATGATAGTTAGTGGTAGTGGTGATCATAATGGTACAGGGGAGAAGGAAAGGAAAAACTGGAGAGAGCATTGGTAATAGAAACTAGGTTTCATGGGCAGTTTAAACAATCCCCAAATACAGAGAGCTGGCTGAGAACAATTATTTAATACATTATGCATACCTAACTCACTCGAATAGAAATGTTACAAATACCTTTCATTTTATCTTCTCAGCAGCCCTAGAAGGCAAGGTGATAGATATAATTCGCACTTTATTTTATTTATTTTTTTTTAAAGATTTTATTTATTTATTTGACAGAGAGAGATCACAAGTAGACAGAGAGGGAGGCAGAGACAGAGAGAGAAGCAGGCCCTGCTGAGCAGAGAGCCTGATGCGGGACTCGATCCCAGGACCCTGAGATCACGACCTGAGCCGAAGCCAGCGGCTTAACCCACTGAGCCACCCAGGCGCCCCTAATTCGCACTTTAAAACATGAGAAAGCTTAGACTTAAACCGCTTAGTCCAAAGTTACACAACTCATTAACTGAGCAGGTGTCAGTGAGGGAGAACCAGGACTCACGTGACTATCAGTCTTCTCAGCAGTCCACCGTACAAGAGCTCTCACGTCCTAGGCCTCCAGTTGAATCCTTACTGGCCTCCAGATACATGGTCATAATAACCAATGCAGGAGGGCACAAGGCGGCGAGACACTCATGTGGCTAAGGAGCTTGAGGTTCTCCTATCAACCCCGTAGACCCCGACTTGCCATTTGAGAGCTGCTTATATCCTGGGAGTTTAATCTCTTCATTGCTAACTAGTCATAGACCCCTCCCAGCCCATTTCAGCTGTTCCCTACTTTAAACTGTTTTGAGTAAAGTAAAGGTGAAAATATGTTGTGCTGTGTCTTTCCATTCTTATGGATAAAGAACCTGTGGAGGTCATCTACAAACAGTCTCTCTTCCAAAACACCGAGTTTAACTCCTTGCTCTGACCAGTGCTTCCTTTCCACTGTGCTCCATTATCCAGTGTAATAAAATGCATATTTAAATTTCCACAGCTTTATTTGGTTGTAAAGCAAGCCTATTGTTTTACTCTCGGCAATCAAGGTAATTACTAATAACCCCAGGGGAAAAAAAAAACGTGCAGCCATGTGTATGTGGATGTTCTGTAATATCAGACACTCTACAGGTTTTTTTTTTTTCTTATAAAAACAAAGCCCTTATGTGAGGAAGACTGAAATTGTACTTAAGACCAAACATAACCATAAAATGGTTTATCTGAAAGGTTTCTAGCTATTTATGCTTTATCATGCTGGTGGGCTGTTTTTAGTCAAACCAGCTAATTTCTTGTTTAGGAAGGAAATTTCACATCTGTTGTGTTCAGCTGAGCATGCCCGAAAGCCTGAGGGGTGTAGCTGTACCCCCATCTTTAGTGCCACACTCCCTTGCTGTAATTAAATAGGGAGGAGGAGGGAAGGCAAGATTGGAAACTACAGTTGACCCTTAAGTAGCACAGGTTCAAGCTGTGAGGCTCCACTTATAGGCAGAGTTTTTACAGGAAAGTACTGGAAATGCAGTTGCTTTGCCTTTGATTTCCCTAATAGCATTTTCTTCTCCTAGCTTACTTTATTGCAGAAGTACAGTATATAATACACATCATATATAAAAGATATGTTCACCAACTGTTTATATTATCACCAACTGTTTATATAAAAGATATGTTCACCAACTGTTTATATCATCAGTAAGGCTTCCAGTCAACAGTAGGCAATTGGTAGTTAAGTTTCGGGAGAGTTCAAAGTTATCTATGGGTTGTTAACTGTGCGAGGGTCAGTGCCCCAAATCCCCCACATTGTTTAGGGGCCAACTACATCCCTGGAAGAGCAAATCAATGGAAACCTTTGAGAGCAAAAATAACACCAGACACGTGGTATATTGCAAATTTGTTCCCACACTGCAACCTTCCTCCTTCCCTATTTTTCCTCTTTCATACTCCCTCTTCTGCCCCCTTTCCAGTGTTCAGTGACTGACTCCACAATCTGACTCTCTCTAGTTGCCCTTCAGAGTTCTTCTCCGAGGGCTATTTTCCTACATGGCATTTTTGCTTCTCCTTATTACTTTTCTGCTATTGTTCATTACCATCATCCTTTCCCGACCCAAGTAAATCGTTTCCCTTTCTGCTAAGGTTAGTCTGCTCCCGTAAAGTCAAAGACTGTGTCTTTGTGACCCCCATGACATTTAATAAAATGATCTCAAGTGATTTTTGAGGGGCAAGCCTGAAAATTGATGATAGCTGAAAGGCAGAGGAAGAAATCCAAAGTTTCAAATCCATGCCCTAGCCTGTATTTTATCTGAGCTTCAGACCTGCAAATAATATTGCCCAAGGAATACTTCCACTTCGATGTCCCCTTAGGCACTTAAAACACCAGCATCTTTCCCTACAAATTCTCCCTTCCCCACAGATCCCTCAATTCAGTGAATGAAACCACCAGCTAACCAGAGGCCCAGCCAGAGGCTTTAACATCACCCTTTATTCTTCCAAATAATCACCAGGATCTTTCAGTCCCAACATTTAAATATCTTACAAATCCCCACAATTCTTAGGCTCCTACCCCACCTCTTTCATTCAAGCAACCATGGTTTCTTACTGGATTATTACAAAAAGCTCTTAACTGGGCTCTTGCATTTTATTCTTAGCCCTTCTGTTGACTTTACATACTGGATCCAGAATTGTCTTTTTAAAGAATGAAACATGCACTTAGTTTCTTAAAATTCTGGCCTTCTAGGTTAAAGCTTAAACTGCTCACTGAGCCTATATGAGCTGGCCCCTGTGTGTCTCTGACCTTCTCCCATACTCTCTTTGCATGATCAGTCCAACCAGGCTGAACCTCCTTCCGATCCTCAAACATACCACACTCTCTTCGTGGGCCTCTGAGTCTTTATGACTATATTTAAACACACACATACACCCCTGTACCCAAATGAATGCTGATTTTCTTCTGGAAAGCTTTTCTTTATTCCCCAAATTTGATTTAGGTGCCCTTCTTGGTACTCCAATTACCCTTGTTACATTCATTCTAAAGTATACTAATTTTAATATTCTATTTTAATTCCCTAGTCATTTTTTTTTTTGCATTGTCTATAAAGCTGGAAGGTCAACATGAGCAAAGACCACAATTGTCTCTTTTTTATTATTTTTTATTTTTTTAAAGATTTTATTTATCCACTTGACACAGACAGAGAGATCACAAGTAGGCAGAGAGGCAGGCAGAGAGAGAGGAGGAAGCAGGCTCCCCACTGAGCAGAGAGCCCGATGCTGGCTCCATCCCAGGACCCTAAGATCATGCATGGCAGAGGCTTAACCCACTGAGCCACCCAGGTTCCCCTGTCTCTTCTTTAGGTCAACATTTCTTAAGCATGTGTCATGAGCTAGGTGTGTTCTAACATTCTCAGCAACTCCAAGATAGATACTTTTTTAAACCCAGTTTGACAGAGAGGAACCAGAGATACAGAGAGATTAACTAGCTTATCCTGTATTATACAGCTAATTAAGTTGAGTTGAGATTCCTCCTCAGGCACTCTGGCTCTGGTGCCTGCAGCTTTAATAATTTTGTAAACTTCCTGTATTATATATTGTTACATATCCAGTGCCTGGCCTAGTGCTGGATATTAACAGATGCTCAGAATAGATATGTAGAATTACAAGTTTCCACCAAGTATTGGAGGTAAGACAGTCCAACCAGGGGAGAATGGTATCCTGCAAGAGAGAAGTTGTTTAAAAAAAAAAAAAAAAAGCCAAGAAAAGCAATTTGGGGATTACGTGAGTAAGGAAACTAACAGGTCTTAGTAGATCAGGATACATGTGAGGATCCAAGGATACTGTAAAGAAACCTGAAGAGCTAAAGGCACTAACCACTTCCAGTGTCATACCTATGTGACAGTATCTAGCTTGTTTTTAATCTATAAGCAAACCACCTTTGAAGATAAATGTTGACACTAACCTAGGAGTGGGGAATGATACAAGCAGCAAGAGAGAAGGGCCAGGGAAACAAAGGTCAGTTTGAGCTATACTGATGTTTGTCGTGGATGCAAAGGTTGGACATGCTCATGCACAAGTGACATTTTACCAAGAAGACAAGGACACCCAGGAAAGCATTGTCTGTCATGATAGTGACTTGTGTGTGGAACTGAAGACAATAAATGTTGCATTAAAGAAAAAATTTCAGTATAATCACAAATATGTCTTGCAGACATGTTCTAAATAAGTAGATTTTGCTAATCCAGGGGAGGAAAAGAGTCTTCTCTTGTGGTTAACCACTCAGGCATGTGAAGAGAATGAACACATCAAGGGTGGCAAGGGCCACGGAACAAATTTGTGGGCCACAGAGAAGTAGCGTAGGAGAATTCTTGTTCTTTTAGAAGCAATTTATTCTCAGTGGCTAGATTTAATGCAGCGATTAACAGTAATATGTCCTCCTCCTTCCTAATAATATTTATAATTAACTGTGGGCTTTGTGATGCTTCTTTGTAGAGTGCCCGTTGGGTTACTGCAGAAATGGTGGGAATTGTGTAGTGGAGAAGAATGGCCCTGTGTGTCGGTAAGGAGCATTGTCTACTTTGTCTTTGAACAGTTTTTGCCATTGGCTTACTTATTTTTCTCAAAGCTGGTATAATACAACACCAATGAACACAAAGTTATTAAGGCAAAAATAGTGGATAATGGCATTATTTGCATTTATCTGTCTGAATATGAGAAAGGAAGATGTGGGTATATTTTAGAAAAAAGATGGCAATTATTTAACATGATTTTATGTCTTAACATTTTGTATTATATGGGACGTAGTTTTAATACTCATTCGTTCTTATTTTTAATATTTATATCAGGTTATAAAAAGATTTTATATATGGGTGTCATCCTATTTCAGATGAACTTAGTGTTTGTATTTCCTTATTCCCTTTTTATTTCACATTTCATATTTCTCTTTTCTAACAACAAAGGATAAAATTAATTCATAAATAAGACCTTTTTATAGTTTAAGCAGTGGATGTTTATGAGTACCCAAAGTTAAGGTACAGATAAGGAATACATTTGCATGCTTAAAGCAAAAATAAACAAAACTGGTCCTTGTGATTTCTTTGGGGAATTATTTATACTGCATATCAAAGATTGCTTGATTTTTTTCCCCTCACCCTTTAGGGGATTGTGCAAAAACAGTTTCATAAATTCCAAAGGAAATGATGCATGTTCCATTATATTTGTGTTTATGACTTTTTAATCTATCAGACCAATGGATATATTACTTTGCTTATTAGAGAACGGATGGTAGTTTGAAACTGAAGTCATAACAAAACACACAGAAGTATCTGGAAAACAATGATTGATAGTTGTTTGAATCCTTATATCCTTCTGAGTCAACACTTGTATTTTAGGAAAACTTGTTTATGCCTTACAAAAGCAAATATCTCTACCAATTAACACAACAACAAAATTTTTTTGATGAGATATGTTTAGACACTGTTTTAACATTGTTGGAAGTGAATTATTAATGGGTTTCTCTAAGTGTTTTGTCTCTCTACTTCATTACATAATTTATTTCACAACATCTCAACAAAATTATGCTTTCCCCTGTATCAGTTTCCATGGAAATTAATTTTTTACAAACTGTAAGTTGATGGAAAGACAGGATGCATAGTATAATTTCTAAAATCTCCTGAAAGAAATTGAGAATGATGCCATAAATAATGTCCATCGAATGTCAGCTGAGTGGATAATGTTGTTTAGTGTCAACTATTTACAATAAGGAGGTTTGCATTTTTGTCTTCTCTAACCCTGCCAGACAAGAAAGCTCTCTCAGACTGTAGCTAGTCTTAGCTAAGCAAACAGAATTTTGCGTTCTTGGCAACATCCTCTGGTACTTAAATAAACTTTAAAAATGGAAATCCAGATGGTGACATCTGAAATGGATTTCTCTCACATGAGAAAACTCTTAACATGAGGGAGAAGATGCAGTGGGAGGATTAAGAGGCAAAGGGACCAGAGGAAGGAAATTGGTGTGACAAATGTAGAAAGAAATTCATTAATCAAATATTTTAAAATAGTGTTTTTAGTAATAAATAATACTTTTCAGATAGTGAAATAACTAATTGCCACCAGTATAAACAAATGTTTGGAATTAGTGTTCTTTTCAACATAGGTATGAAAAATGAGTTGTGGGTTTTTTTTTTTTCATATTACAATATGGTAGTTTCTTCATTCAAATTCTAATTACTTTAAAGCCATGAACTGCAAAAGTAAACATATGTATATTACAATAAACTTTTAGAAGGCATATACTAGTACATCAGGCAAAAAGTAGAAACCCCAACATCTAAATCCCACTTTGCAGTATTATTTTTCTCTCCACTTAAATATGGTTTTCTTTTCACCAACACATGTACCCACACAAGCACATATTTGTTTCTTATAGAAATATGAATTATACTTTATACATTCACTTTGTACCTTGTTTATGTTTTTTTTCTCTTAATAAAATACTGTGCTATTGTTCCATGTCAGTACATCTGGCTCCTAGATCCATCACTTCTTGGCTGTGTTGTGTTGAGTAAATTTCCCAATCTAATGTGTCTAGCTTCTTCTCTGGCAAACTGGACAAGATAATAGCACCTACTTCACAGGGTAGTTGTGAGACTTGAAGGGGTTAAATATGTGAGACACTTGGTACTATGTCTGACATACAAAAGATACTATAGGAAGGCTAGCCATCAGAACTATTATATCATCTCTTTTTATGCTGTGTAGTCTGCAATATTTAATGTAGGGTTTGTCATCATTTAGATAACCCCATTAATACTATTAATGGTTGTTTAGTTTCTTTCTTAAATATTTGCTTTCACAAATAATCTTGCAACATGCATCCTTTGACTTGGACTTGCACAATTCCTTAAGCATAACATACCTTACTGAAATGCAAAATAACAATGTAAATTATTTCTAGTTGCATTTAGTATCAAATTCATTTCCTATTAAATTTTGTATGCAGGTCATGTCACACACAGGTATTCTTTTTTGGATTTCAGGTTCAATGAGGGTGGCTTTAGAATGAAAAGCTTTAGAGTAAACATAAAGCACTATGGAAAGATGTTGGCTTTATATCAAACCCCTGTCATTCCCAGGTGTGAGAATTCAAGGTATCTGTCACTCAAAGACGTAAGGACAGACCAAAGCCCATCTCTTATCCGGGCATTGTGAATATAAGAATTTCATGGTATTCAAAAGGAGGCTTGTCACGAGAGTCTTTGGGTTTTCTCTTGGGATCTAAGGTATCTTGAGAAAGGACCTTCAGTTTTTACCTATGATCCTAGAGAAGAGAGACTTAAGAAAAAAAAAAAAAAGGTCATTTGGGTTGCTGGAAGTTTATAATTATCCGCAAGCATAAACACTACTATGTGAACTATGGTTTTCCATAACCTGAGGACCACCAACAGGGTGGCATGTCTGAGAGCTGAAGAAGCAAATCATGAGCCAAAAGAGGGAAATTATTCCTAACCTAAGGAGGCTTGGTTATTATATTATTTTGATATATCTGTATGTTTCTTTGAAAAATGGACTGAGCTATGTAATTCAATTCCAAAGGGCAGGAAAGAGGTTACAAAGAAAAAAAAAAATCAAGTCATCAAAGCTAAAAGAAAGAAATAGGAAACAATATCAAATTAATGCATATATAATTATATATATACACATATAGAGATAAATTTATTATATATTTCATATATATGTATACATGAGATCATGTTGTTAGTGAAGATAGGCAGAAAAATATTAGAGCTTGGGTTAATTTATAGATTTGGAATACAATTTATCAACAACTACCCTATCCCACTAGGTTCCACATTCTTAAATTTGCTTGCCAATAGGACACCAGAGTTCCTTTGGATATGTCATAGGCATTACAGATTTAACATGTCCAAAAAGATCTGGCATGTAGGCAAGCCATATTCTTCCCTTTCTTTCAGATTTACATGCACGGTTCTCTCTACTTAGAATTTTATTTTTCTGCATTTGCCCAAAAGATGCCTTTTAATCATTTAAAGCAAATATAAATGGCAATTTCTCTGGGAAGCCTTTCCCAGACCAACCAGAGAGAATGCCTCATCCTTCCTTCTGGGTTCCTCTGTTGCTTCCCTCATTCTGTTATTTTACAAGTATTGGTTTTACTAAACTACAGATTGGAACCTGTTATACCCTATGAAGAAATATATTTCCAATTAAAATTTTATTCTTTATGACTATCAAAATTTATTCTGTCCACTTTTTATTAGTTTTATTTGTAAGAATAACTCTTAGACAATTATGGTCCCTGAAAATTTAAAAAAATATATACTACATTCATACTTTTAGTGTAAAAAAGATTAAAAAAATAATCAAAGGCTTTTAAGTATAAACTATATTAAATTAGGATAAATATTTGCTAGAACAGGGCCAAAGTAACAGTTTAAGGAGGAAAATGATCAACTGGAATTTCTAACTGTTAAAGACAGAGTATGCAGGCAAAATTTTGAAGACCATTGTCTTAGAAAATAAGGGTTATATTTTCCACAGCTTTTTATGACTAGTACCTAACACACACTTGACATTGTAAGAGCTATTTGAATAATACACTGACTAAAGTATAAGTGAATGAAATACAAATGGAAAGTCCTGAGATTTCAAGGAAAAGTATCAGTACTTTTAAATATGTTCCTAAAATGTATTAAGATATGAATAAATAACATACCACAGGCCAAACTGCCAATCACAAAGGAGCTCTTGGATACTTTATATGTAGACAGCAAACAGTGTAGTGAGGGAGCATATGATATACTTATTATACTATAAAACAAAGATCACTCCTGTGTATAGGACAGAACAGATACCCATAGAAAGTATTCACTAAAGAAAGTCTACTTTGCTACAATGACAGAAGAGGGTACTCTTAAACTAGGAATCTTGTAAACTACCTCAACTCTTCAACCCCAGGCTTAAAATTAAGCGGTAAGTGCAGTTATCCATCTATAAAAAGCCACTGTTTAAAATAAAATTCAGCTTATGAACTCTCTCCTTTTCCCCATCAAAAACAAAACAAACAAAAACAAAGAAATATGAAGCAAAAAAGAAAGTACTCCAAGACCCTGACTCCAAACTGAATTAAATATTAATTCAGTTAAATTTACGGAAAGGGGGTGGAGTGGGGAGTAAAACTTAATTGGGATTTTAAAGTCCAAATACAACTGGATAACAAAACAGTAAGAATCAAATAAGAGTGGATTGAAGCAAGGAAGGAAATGAAATAGAAAGGAAACACTAAATTATAATACTTCTCCCAAGAGAGGATAGATTCAAATTAATTCTATTAAAGAATTCTGAACAAAGTTGAAAAATAACCAAGGGAACAAAAAGGAGATAAAGTACATAATTCAAAGAGAAAGTAGTTGAAGTGGAAGATAAAGAACATGTATATAATTGGAGTCCCTAAAGAGGAAAACAAAACAGTGGAATGGAACTAATATTTAAAACTGTAATCCAAGAAAACTTTCAGAAATGAAAGAAGAATGAATTTGC